AAAGAGACGTTTTTTTGACGTTTGGAGAAAAAAGGTATTTTTCTACAAAGGTGTTAAAAATGCAACTTTTAACACCCCCTCGAAGCATTAAAAATGTTACTTTATCGCACTAGTATTAAAAGTCTTTAAGGCACTAGTGTTAAAAATGAAACGTCAAAATTTGAAAGCAAACGTCAAAAAAAGTTTGTATTTTTAATTTTTTACATTAATTTTAATGGTAAAATTTGAACAACTGAGGAAGCTCCATCGGCCGCCTCCTCTATATTTTTCAACGGATTGATGCAACCCTCTTTTTCTTGTGTATTTTGCTGCATTTTTAGCAAAAAGCCTACTGACCACGATAGACCATACGACAGACTTTTAAGAAACTGACGAGACATTTCATTACCTGTAAAACAAGGTGCTGGTTATTTGAATTTTTTGACAAATATCAAATTCATTAATTTTACGTAGGAAAGATGCTTCCAATTTATTATTCATTTGAAAATCCAATTTGTCACTGGTTATTGCTTGTTATTGCCGTTTGTAGAAAAAATATTGTATGATATTTGTGTTAAAAGTATTTTTAAGGCACTTATGTGAATAGGCCCCTTGCATCAAATTTTTTTATTGCTGATTTCGATAGTCCATGAAAAATAAGTCAACGCGTGTTTTTTCTTTTTCTTCTTAGTCAAAAATTGACGGAGATACAACGCTATGAAATATGCCTATGACGTCATCAGGTATAATACTTTATGACGTCGCACATGCTCAGTATATCTGTATATACAAAACTTAATATTTGTATAACTTCCGAAATAATCATATTTGAGCGAAATGAAAAAAAAGTAACGATTTTTTTTCGATTTCCTACAGTTTGCAATAAACAATAATCAATTTAATTTTCCATGCAAGTACCCTATTGCAGAATTCGCTTCGCTCATTCTGCAAACTTTCACATGTGTGCCTTAAAAATGTACTTTTAACACTTATATCATAAATAACTATTATTTAAAAAAATCTAACTAAAAACTTAAAAAAACACTGTAAATTTATCTTTGTTCTGCCTCAAGGCGACTGTCAATAGTGTCAAACTGTCAGATCGTGTACTTGCCCTATATGGCCGTTCAGGTCAAATTGTGGCGACGTTCATAAAAAAAATCATTTCTGTTCAGGGCCCTTATTGTTGTAGATGGCAAACGTGATAATGCCAATGTCAAACCTAAATGTCCAGAATGTGACAAAATAATAATTTTTCATTGATTTCTATCAGTAACCTAAATGTAAACAACACGGTGTCTGACCTGAACTTCCATATAGTCCAGGAGGCAGTGAAATTTTTTAGCACTTATTTTCCCAGTTGATATCTATTGAATAGTTTGTTCTCCTGGTGATACAAAGCAAGAATTTTTGAGTCTGGCTAAAATTTTTGGATGGGTTCACAAAATCAATGAAAAATACAAGAACGCTTATTTTCCCAGACATAAATATTTCACATTTACTACAATAGAACATAAAGTATATGAAAATAACAATTTGGCTTATCTCAGATAGTGGAAGTGAGTCTGGCTGAAAATTTTCGGATCTTCAGTTTTTCACTTGCCAGACATATTATCCATACTCACAGATTAGCCGGACTATTTTTTTACGTAACTTTAGTATACTTCTCATTAGTAGACCTATTTTTATCACTGAGAAAAAAAAAGGCCGCGCATTCGTAAGCTTCAACGCATTTTGCGCCTCAACCCATCGGAAAACCCCCCCTAAAAATATATGTATTTTGCTTAGAATTTTTAACCCTACAATTCTATCCATATTGGCTGACTGGGAAAATAAGTACCGAAAATCGTCACTGCCTCCTAGACTAATACTGAATTTCGTTCGACGGCTCGTGGTTTTGTCAAAAATTTCATGAGCGAAATTGCCAAGCAACAAACTTTCATACCAGTCGAAAATTTTGCCAACAATTTTTTTTCTCTTGTGGTATTATATACTGTGTGACAAAAAAACCGCATCACCCCATAGAAGTATAAATATTTGTTAACCAAAATGTAGATATGCTTGGGCTATCCAAAGTGAAATTTAATTTATTAAGAAATATACGAATAAAGTATGTAGAAAATTTGTTAAAAAAATATACACTTTCAATGAGTGATGCATTTTTTTTGTCACATAGTATAGGTATATAAAAAAGCTAAAAAGTCTTGCTGTGAAAGTTTGATTGTTGATATGATTTCATTGAGCTATTGCGTAAAATGTGATTTTCTCAACTTTGGAAGCCTTTGGAGAACGAGCAAAAGATAACAACATTGCATTCGAATTTTTCTACGATCCTGTGAGTTGAAAAAAACAATTTTAAGACGATTCTGACACTTTCTTTTCAAAGATAAATTTTGATCCACAATTCTGAAATTTTTACAAAAAGGTTCAAATTTGACGTTTCCATACACATAATGATCCGCAGATCCCCAAAATACGAAAAAAATCTTGAGATGCCATTCGAAATTTCGAAGTAAGGTCCACTTCCGGTCAAACCGGAAGTTTCCAAACATTGACACACATGTCAAAAGCTGACATTTCTCAAACCTACACCCTATACCAAAATTGGATGCCATTGAAAAAAAAAAAAAAAACAGCAAATGCCAGCGCGAAACTGATTTCGTAGACACCCGGTATAGTACTTTTCGATCGACAGGTGCACTTATTGTTGCTTGACAGTTAGTTCTACTTTTTGGCACTCAGTGCGGATACAGACCTTATGCGCACGGAGTGCCGGAGAGTGTAACTTTGAGCACGAAAGTGCGTGCGGAAAAGTACTACTTTGCGTACGCTCATAGGAAATAGTTATTTCCCTAACAAGTGCGCAAAGTGATACTTTCCCGCACGATAAAGCAGTTAGGGGAACGACGCAAAGCGGAGTTCGGATAAGCTTTCAGTGCGGTAAAGACACTTTGCGTAAGTGTTAGGAACAATACTTTTTCTTCGAGTGCTTGAAGATTTGCCTAGCCATCCAGAGGAGCTGTAGCTAATATTCTTGAATGTTTCCAGATGCTCAAAACTGGTAATTTTCTCTCTTAGTTCAATGTGTTCTGTTTTCAATTTATTTTTTTTTCAGCTTGACTTTATTTGCACAACAGTGGTTGTGCTAGCGAGGTTCCCTTGAAATTTGTTGTTTTGTTTTTTTGAACCCTTTTACTATCACTGTACCTGACAGCAGATGACAGTGTTAACCCCCTCAATAATGCAAAGATGTTAAATTGTAGCATGGGCTATTTGTGTCCAAATGTGTATCTGGATAATTTTTTTTTGCAGATTCGTGAAAGACCTTTCTATTAAGGTATCACATGACCTAGAGTGCCATTTAAGATTTTGAGGGTAATTCTTCTTCTAGCCCTCCAAACGGGTTTGTTTTTTTGATCGATTATCCTTTTGATATAGGCCATTGACAGTTTTCGGTGGGACACCCGTATGTAGATAATAGATAATACTTTAAAAAGCATTATTTCAAATGTGTCGCTTCAACGCACTGAATGCTTGAACGAATGACATTTAAAGACTAAAATAATGACAATCAAAAAGTCGCTATTATGAAACATCAGTGGAAAAAAAAATTACTTCCATAAAAATTCAGGATGTAAGAAATGTTATTGAATGCATACCGCTTATTTCTTCCTATTATAATATCTATAGTAACTTAGCATTGCCACTAAAAAGTAATTTAAAATTGTCAAAAGTACATTCCTCTTTAATCAATTAATCATAAATCGGTTCCACGGTATATCTAATACCCAAAGCTACCATTAAAAGCTTTATAAAATGACTGGGCAAGAATGAGAACAGATATGATTTATAATACTCCAGACAGCGCTTTCGCCAGTTTTAAACACTTTTTGTAATGATATTGTTTCATAAATTTGTCGAAATCCTTCGTCGGCAATTTGTCAGTGTTTCCGATATTTTTTCATTGTCAGAAATAAGCATCGACAATTTATTGCTTGTTGTCTAGATTACTTTTTTTTATGGTTGGAAATGATTTATCTTAAGGTGCCCGAGGTTGGAATAGTTAGGCATAATCCACTGGATAAAACTCCAAAAATATTATTGTTTTGGATATTATCATTCTTTAAATCTCAAACATCGGAGAAAGAGTATGAATAACTGATTAAGTAATCCACTATTTTGAAAATATCTTAAAACTGTGAGAGGTACCTACAGAATCCATCTTGAGATAATTTTGAGAATCATTCAGATCTCTTTCGATTGACATTATTTTGCATTTTTCCTGCGCAGCCGAGCCAACTCACCAATGCAGAGCCAACATCCTAGCTTGAACCGTGCAAAATCCGAGAAATCTATGGGACAGTATTCGAATAATTCGCGCAACCTTGTAGGCGACGCACAGAGGTCTAAATGTAAAAATTACGGGGACATTAGGTGACAAACTTGACTTCACTGGATATTGATAATATGTATGATTTTTTAGACAGAATAAAGTGAGTCCTTATGTGTATATTAAGGTTTTTTGTTTGGTAGATCGGAATGCGATAAAATTGGGGACAACGGAGACAAAAATATAAATCCTCATTTAGTTAGAATTTATTCTCGATTATCTTCGAGTTCGTTTCGATAGTTAGTGTTGATAATATAATATCGTGTTTTGTTTAATTATTCAGGCATGTCTGCTGATTTGTTGGGTAAACTTAGTTACTTATTTCGTAGCACTAATTTTGATATAAATAATTTTCAAAGAAGTACTCAAAATTTTATTTAAGTTCCAAGAATGGAAGGCCCAAAAAAAAAAACCAAACTTTTGTTAACCGTCAAACTCAATCTATTTTAAAGCTAGTATTTCTGACTTTCTTGAAACTATATACTCAGCTGCAACCAGCTGCAATCTTGTGAAATTTTTATTTTTTTCCTCTTCAGGTACTGTTTCGGGCGTGACTCGAAAACAGTTATTTGAGTTTCTGAATGAAAATGGCTGGATGGGAAGTGCCAATTCTTCGATTGTGAAAAAGAAGATGGGCGACTTTGTCAATCAACGCATCCCTACTGCCGACAAGGATGACCTAACCAACAGAATTTCGTGGTTTTCGACGCAAATTGCGTTACGTTGGAAAAGGTGCCACCGAAATAAGATTTACTTTTTGAATAAACATGAAATTTGGCTCAATGAGTTTGTTTATAAATCTAAGTGCCAAAGCACCTTCCAGCGACACGCAGAAAAGCCTTCGAGAAAGAACACAAGAGAATTTAGTGACGTTAGTGCTAGAACCAGGAGAAGACGAACACAAGAATTGGTTTCTCACCATAGTCCTGCTGAACTTGCGTTTGCTACTCAGTCTGGATATACGAAAAGAGGAAAGAGAAATGTTGCTTTCGTCATAAAAAAAGACGCGTCTACTGGAGAAAATGGTCGTATCTCGTTGTTGAACCTTCCTAACTGTTTTATTTTAGTCAACTCTTCTGGACTAGAAATCGTGGCTTTTTTTATGACGAAAGCAACATTTCTCTTTCCTCTTTTCGTATATCCAGACTGAGTAGCAAACGCAAGTTCAGCAGGACTATGGTGAGAAACCAATTCTTGTGTTCGTCTTCTCCTGGTTCTAGCACTAACGTCACTAAATTCTCTTGTGTTCTTTCTCGAAGGCTTTTCTGCGTGTCGCTGGAAGGTGCTTTGGCACTTAGATTTATAAACAAACTCATTGAGCCAAATTTCATGTTTATTCAAAAAGTAAATCTTATTTCGGTGGCACCTTTTCCAACGTAACGCAATTTGCGTCGAAAACCACGAAATTCTGTTGGTTAAGTCATCCTTGTCGGCAGTAGGGATGCGTTGATTGACAAAGTCGCCCATCTTGTTTTTCACAATCGAAGAATTGGCACTTCCCATCCAGCCATTTTCATTCAGAAACTCAAATAACTGTTTTCGAGTCACGCCCGAAACAGTACCTGAAGAGGAAAAAAATAAAAATTTCACAAGATTGCAGCTGGTTGCAGCTGAGTATATAGTTTCAAGAAAGTCAGAAATACTAGCTTTAAAATAGATTGAGTTTGACGGTTAACAAAAGTTTGGTTTTTTTTTTGGGGCCTTCCATTCTTGGAACTTAAATAAAATTTTGAGTACTTCTTTGAAAATTATTTATATCAAAATTAGTGCTACGAAATAAGTAACTAAGTTTACCCAACAAATCAGCAGACATGCCTGAATAATTAAACAAAACACGATATTATATTATCAACACTAACTATCGAAACGAACTCGAAGATAATCGAGAATAAATTCTAACTAAATGAGGATTTATATTTTTGTCTCCGTTGTCCCCAATTTTATCGCATTCCGATCTACCAAACAAAAAACCTTGATATACACATAAGGTCTCACTTTATTCTGTCTAAAAAATCATACATATTATCAATATCCAGTGAAGTCAAGTTTGTCACCTAATGTCCCCGTAATTTTTACATTTAGACCTCTGTGCGACGCGACGTTCTCCGACTTAACAGAGTAGTGGGCAGCGTTGCCACCTCACGAAAATTAAATGTAATAGATTGTAGCCAAAATTGTAATAGATTTGACTTTTTGGTAATAGATTCTTTCATCTGTCACTTCTGTCAGTTATACATGAGAGATAACCAAAATATTGAATAGGCGCTCCACCATTATGCGCCGTATTCATGTTTATGCTGTGTTTTTAAGCTCAATTTACTCATTTGCGTTAGTTTTTGTTGCCATAAATTAGATATCGGTATAGGATTTTTATTCTTTAGTCATAGAATCACTTAGTTCAGAATCAGTTCTCAATTGAACTGCGCTCACGCATTTGTTCTTACCGAACATAAATAAACAAATGCGCATGCACAGCTCAATTCCGAACTAAGTCCGTACAAACCTATTATGAAACTGAAAGTGAAGCATTCTCATTCAGCGGTTTTCAGTTTTCACGCACAAAGGACACAACATTGACTAAAGATGTTTTTTTAAAGTGTTCTGCGTGGTTTGATGTGATAATTTATGATGCCTGTAAAATTTTTCAATTGCCTATTCACCAAAACATAATTTTCCCGAAAAAGTAATAGATTTTTTCCTTTGGTAATAGCGTAATAGAAATTACTTGATTGTAATAGATCTATTACGATTGTAATAGGGGTGGCAACACTGGTAGTGGGCTTGAGATTAAGTGCCGTAGTAGAAGGTTAATGCATCAACGACTTCTAACGGAAAATTATCAAGTTCCTTATGCGTTAGGTACAGCCAATGATAGTCAGTCAAGGTCCTTCATCAATCATCATCGGCACACGAAGTATAAACTTCGAACACTGAAGGGTGATCCAACGGCCCGCATTCAAAGCGTCGGAAAGGGTTTCGTAGCAGTCTAATTACTGCTTAACCATAAGTTGTATTGAAATAATTCTTGTTGTAGCCTAATCTACTAATGTGAAGGCATGTTTTTATACAATTCCTTTTTTTTAAATAATCCAAATTAGCTCAGAAACTGAGCTTAAAAATCATCAAAAAACTGTTTTTTTTGTGTGAATATTTTGACCATTTTCGGAAGCATTTTCAAAAAAATAATCGTATAGAGACATAGATCTACTTTTCCTCTTTAGACGGGAGTAGATAGTCAAAGCGGGTCCTAGAATCAAGCATTCTTGACACGTGGTGGATGCGCCAGCATTGACACGAAGGTGGATGCATCGTCGGCGCCATCTTGTCAAACGTCATGGCGCCATCTAGCGTACATAGTGTGAAATTCGTATTTGGCGCCATCTAGAATACATAGTGTGAAGTTCGTACTACAGGATGCTGTAGTTGGGGGCCCACAGGGCTCCGCCCCCCAAAAAGGGGCCCCCGGATTTTATTATGGGTACCAGAAAAAGGGGAGGGGGGATTTTTTTTCCCGACCGTCATCTGTTAAACGTCATCTGTCAAACGTCACCTGTCAAACGTCTTCTGTCAAACGTCATGACGTCATAGCGGGAGTTTTGAGTCGTTTCGGGTTCTTTGATGACGTCATAGCGACCTGGGTCACGTGGGTTACGTCAGTGCGGGTCCGTGGCGCTATTTAGAGTACATAGTGCAAAGTTTGATTCAGGGTTCGGGTTCTGTGATGACGTCATAGCGACCTGGGTCACGTCCGTGGCGCCATTTAGAGTACATAGTGCAAAGTTCGATTCATGGTTCGAGTTCTGTGATGACGTCATAGCGACCTGGGTCACGTCCGTGGCGCCATTTAGAGTACATAGTGCAAAGTTCGATTCAGGGTTCGGGTTCTGTGATGACGTCATAACGACCTGGGTCACGTGGGTTACGTCACTGGGGGTCCGTGGCGCCATTTAGAGTACATAGTGCAAAGTTCGATTCAGGGTTCGGGTTCTGTGGTGACGTCATTGCGACCTGGGTCACGTCAGTGTGTGTCGGTGGCGTCATCTAGCGTACATACTGTGTAAGCATCGTGAATCATCACGTCGCTGACGTTTGATGGAAAAGGGGCCTCGTTTTTTTATTGAAAACATACATTTTTCAAGACAATGATTTCAAAAAGCGAATATTTTCCATCAATAAACTGCTTAATAATATGATCTAATCATTTTGGTGGTACGTCTTGGGAGAAACACTGCATTATCGTCAAATTCAACGAGTAGGCTATTGGGTACTTTCTACCAGGCTCCAAGACTTGTAATTTTCTCAGTGTTTTTAATCCTATGCGTTGAAAGACAGGTCTTGCTATTGATTGATTTCAAATCCATAGCTAAAAATATTCCACAATTGTATCGATTACCTAAGTATATAAGATATTTACTTACTTGGTTGAAATAATAATTGTTGCTCAATAATTTTATAATCCTCACTGTGACGAGAAAGAGCACCCCTTTTAATTCGAACTTCGCTTGACATCTGTTGATCTACCTTAATTTGTATAGTTTATTGGTTCCAGTAAAGATTTGCAATTATTTTGAGGTCTGTATCGTAGAAAATATTGGGTACTCTCACTTTCTACGAGGACTTATAATTTTCTCAGCGTTTTTGATCCTTTGTTATAAAAAGACAGGTCTTGTTGATTGATTGATTTCAAATCCATATCTAAAATATTCATAATTGTATCGATATTAGTAGGTATAATATAAGATATTCACTTACTTGGTTAAAATGATAATTGTTGTGCAATAATTTTATAGTTCACCGAGTTTCAAACAAGACTAAAAGAGCTTAGTTATTATAAAATCCGATTTAAACTTCGAAGTAATCACATACAAAAAACGCTGCCAAAATATTGGGAATTTCACTCTCTATCACGCTTCAGGTCTTGTAATTTTCTCAGTGTTTTTAATCCTTTGCTATAAAAAAATAGGTCTCGTTGTTGATTGATAATAGTATATAAGATATTTCCTTACTTGCTTAAAATCAAATTAATTGTTGTGCAATAATTTTATATTTTCCACTGGTGACGAGTTTGAGCAAACTGAAAGAAGCTTGTTATTATAAAATCCGATTTAAACTTCGAAAACTTTGATATCACATACAAAAGCACCGCCAAATGTAAACGCTTATTCGGCAGTTTTTTTATCTGAATTATATCAGGACCGTTCGCAGAAATCGCCCGAGAAAAACAACAACACATTTTAAAGATAATTTTTTAGTTTAAGGCGTAATTATTAAGTTAGATATTAATATGTCCATTTTTATTTTAAAAAAGGTGGCAAATTCAATCAATTTATCAAAATTTAAAAGAATAGATTTAAATTACCATCGTTGACATTTTATGAGCCAATAACCCTATGCAATACAAAATTTCAGTGGATACATTGTTACCTGTAAAAGATGAGGATTCAATTTTAATTCTTTGTACAAAAAACGCAGCATCCAGTACCAGTATTTTGAACCTGGATTTTCAAAGTTTAGTTTCTTGTGCGATAAGTGTCGGTTTCGAAAAACTGTAAGTACTATTTTTAAATATCTAAGTGATGTCGGATAAATCATGCCCTGAGACATATTTTAGATTAACACAAACCTCGATTATTGAATTATTTTTATTTTCCTTAACACATAAACATATTGTTTGTTTTTTAAAAATACAGACAACCCTGAGTACCTATTTCTTAATTTAATTCCAATAGTTTTTTTCGGAGCAACTTGAATTTACTTTTACACTTACAATTGCACAAAACTCAAATTTCTTTTTCTAAAATTTAGGTAGGTTCTTTAACCAATTTAAACTGGTTTTATTTTTTCATTTATTTTAAAACAAACCTCCATAAACAGCGAATTTTTAATTTTGTGCACAAAATCGTTCACCAGGAAGGAGATAACCTGAAACGTCATGGGATTGCTAATCATCTTCCAAGATCTGTAACCAATGTGGTGGGATTTTTAAAGCAGAGGGGGCTATCCAACACCACCCAAACACCCAGCTCCAAGAGAGCCTCCAAACGAAAGGCTGGAG